ACAGTCATCCTACAAAAGACAAGAACTAACGACGATCATGCAACCAAACCCATCCCTATCCGACTAACTCCTATCATGTACGGAAACTCATTTCTGCTACAAGGAAATGTGTGCTCACCGAATGCAAGTGTACTCGCCAACCAGAAGTCCAAAACACTTGATACGACAGATCACCCTGTCCGATTTTATTACCCACACTCACTACTTCAAAGAATCAAACAGTGCATTAAAACCAAAATACTGCAAAAACAAAGAATCAAACAGTACGTTAATTGTCAGACCCAAATACTGCCAAAACAAATTCTAAATGTACATGCAAAACCCTCTCTTAACGCCTACGCATGTGAGCGCGTTAAGGCTGGTCAGCTGCCTCAATCAACTAGCCATGCAGATGTGAATTCCCACATCGTGCCTCTCCCTCTTGCAAAGCGTTGCAGAACCCGCTGGAAGGACTTTTGTGGGAAGTCCTTGATCCCGAGTTCCCGATTCAGAGTCAACACCCTCTCTGGAATCTCGCTATGAATTGTGGTGTTCTTGTCGATACGTTTCAGATAGCTGGTGATCACCGCACCCTTCTGCATTTTGCTCCCCCACGACCGAAAACTCTGTCCGGATTTGAATTCCAGAACCTCTTGTTCCCAAATAGTCTTATCGTTCTTCGACAGCTGGACGCATCCAATGTACGGATACGTATTTTGTGCCCGCAATTCCAATCCCAAGAAATCCCAAGTACCTCTCCCGTTGTCCGTTCTCTTCAACGACAACCCCCTAGGATAGCAGTTCTCGAACTCACTCCGAATCCTCTCCACTTGCACGTCCTCAATCTTTCTTGACACGATCACCAGACTCACATCATCGATAAGACGTATACCGAAAATCCTCAATCGGAAATTGCCCATCCCCCGCAAGAACTTAAATTCGGCGTGTGCGCACATGATGCATGCTAAAGGTGGACTCGTACTCTTTCCCATTGGGATACCCATGATCTGGTTAATCAGCACGCCTGTTGCTTTGACATATGTGTGTTTGAGGTCAAAGCGTACAAAAGTCCTCAGTTCTTCCAAATTGATGACACGCTAATGGTCATCACCGGTCGTTCTCCCAAACATGCTTCCCTTCCCTTGTGGGTTGACCCTTACCATCTTCATGCCTTTAGCCTTAAAATGGTCGATGATCCAGTCAACCGCCTCAATAATCTGTTCGTGAGGCAGCTTACTGAACATGTCTTTGATGTCATAGGACATCGTAGGCATGTGTAAACCACTTCCACATCTCCTTCTCATTGCTCTATTCATAGCATCGAGCCGCGGAACTACCTCTGAGACTGCCTTCAAGTTGAAATACCAGCTTTGTGGGATATTCCCCAAAAGATGATTGAGCGCCCTAGCTGCGCATTTGGAAGTTCGCACCGAAGGTTTTGAGTGCGATGGAATGATTAGCCGATACCGGTCCAAATCCTTGTGTTTGGCTGCACATATGCTGCGCCAAAGGTCCCCTTCTTGTTCAGTTTTCCGAAAGCAGATAGGCCCACCTCCTTCAAATCCACCGCCATCTGCTCATCGATCACCGCCTAGCTTTCCTTCACGATTCGATAACCCGGGTTACATACGAACATCGTCATCATCGCTTCATGATACAGCTTCGGACAAATCACCAGGGTTTCCTCGGTATTCCTGTCCAAAGGAGTGCGTACCGGACCATCCAATCGCTGTCTCAGCTGGTTCACGTCCTCCATCTTCAAACACCTGCTCGCATCGACTGGCTCCTTGAGGATGCACGTCTCCACTTCCTTGCTAGTCACCGTCACCACTCCTCCGCCTATGTTTGGCCATCTCACAAAAGCTTGTTCGATTTCCTGTTGCAACAGTTTTTTCCGATTCCGCGATGAAGCCAACAAAACATTGTTTGCATTACAAAGTAAGGGATGAATATCATCCAGCTCTTGCAAACGGAAGCGCACATGGTCTCATATCCGTGGATAGGGTAATCCTGTGCATGTGCAGGTACAAACTTAAACTTTTGCAAAAGTTCGTTGATTGTGTAGCAACATCGCAATCGATGGGTTGTTCACCCAACCGATTCTAATTTTGCTACGTGCTCTCTTCTCCATGCAAGCAGGCAAATCCAATTCCCTCAACTTGTCGTTCGTCACTTTTCGTACTTCCGTCATCTTAATCTGGTCGTCGAACTTCAATTTGACCGTAATATTTGCTCCCATGATCCAGCCTGTGGTAGACTTGATACTTCTTGCCACCACCCTCCTCAGGTAGGCTCTCGTTCAGGGTTGTCAAGCCCCGGCCCCGGGGCCCCGGCGGGGGTCCTGGGGGCCGGGGGTCGGCACCCCTGGCCCCGACAAAAAAAGATTAAAAAAAAATAATAATAATTAAAAAAAATAAAAAAATACAGGGGGGTGCGCAGCCGCAGCCTGCACCCCCTGGGCCAAACTGCAATATTGCAGTTTTGACC